CCTCGCGCCGGTTTGCCCTGCAGCCGCCTCTGCCGTCTGCCGACTCTCCTCCCCCGGCCCTTGGGACGCGGCTTGCTTTCCCGGATCGTGGTGCAGCAACCCCATCCTCTCCGCCAAAGCAGCCACCAGCAAACCACCCGTGTCATCAACCGCCAGCCACCTGCCCCCGTGAGGCTCACGCACGCCCTGGGCGGGCTCGCCTCCAAAATGCACGTCTGCCCAGCATCCCAGCAGGCCCATCATCTCCGGCCTCAGCTCCAGCACTTTCCAGGAATCTCTGTTCTCCAGCAGCCACTGGCCCAGCAGGACAACGTCCAGCGGCAGCACGGAGAATCTCCTCAGAAACTTGCGCTCTTTCAAAAGCTTATACTTCGCGAGCGAGTACGACGTCTTTTGGTCAATCGCCGTGTGCGACAGCATGAGTTTCGCAATCAGCTCTTTCCCAGCCGAGGCGCCCTCGCGCTTCAACACCTCGATCTCCTCTGCCGTGAGCTTCTGCCGCGCCGAGTCGTCAATGATTTCCCGATTTGACCGCGCGACGACTTTGCCGGTTTCGTCTACAAGCGCCAGCTGCTCGCCTTCGCCGGCGACAATGGCCGCGTCGCCGTCCGTCTGCTCATTTTCGTTCGTCTCGGCGAGTATGTCGGCGTTGAGTTCTGTGCCGGGCACGACTCGTAGCCGGGAGAAGTTTTCGCCGGGGCGCTTCTCTTGTACTTCGTACGTCAGGTGAAACGGACGCTCCATGAGCAAGTTGCTCGGGAACGAGCCATATTTTCCTAGGGAAATTGTTCTGGACAAGGGCAGCGTCAGTGGTGCTGTGTCGCAGAGCGGGTGGTGGTGATGCAACGCACGTATTTGGTGCGACTTGAAGAACACGCAGTGTATCGTTTGGGAGTCTCAATGCCACCCAGCTGTTGGGCTGTACCACGCTTCGAGACATGGTGGTTGGCAATGGCTGCTGCAACAAGAGTTGCTGCGAAAGCTGCCTACGGTGTCGGCCAAAAACAAAAAAAAAAAAAATAATTAATTTGTTCCTCATTTACTCACCTCGGTGAGCGAGCCCCGCTGTCGGCTGACCCCGCATCTTCACAGACCCACTAGCTCCAGCCAGTCAGGTTACATGTATAAACCAGGTGAGATTGAAACGAGCTTCCCAGCGGAATATATTTGGGAGTTTACCTTACTATATTGATATTCTGTCAACGATACATGTGCGAACAGTATATGTGCTACTGAAATCAGAGATTGCGCACGCGTGGGCTGCCAAACGAGTTATGTGATATTTTGTATATATACCAGGGATTATACCCTACACTGATACTACGAACTTAAGTAGGTAGGTACTAAACCGTAAATAGATAGACTGTTGCATTGATATAAATAGAATTTTCGTCGGTTTATATCAGCTTTTTGAACCAGTATACTGAGTTGCGCTACTATATATCATACCTCTGGAATCCTCTCCTGACAAAACTGACTCTCTTTAGAGTATTTATTTGGCAAGAAAACACAAAGAGATTACGAACTACATATGCAGACCGTTTCACCAATGGGGAGAGAAGGTAATAAAACCTATCAAGATACCGGAGATCAAACCGGCATTCGGTACAGTAATGATCCATCCGAGATAGATCCAGGCAACCATGCACCAGTTGTTGGAGCGCCAGTCACCGTTGCAGAGGCCAACGCCAACAATGGCACCAGTGATGCACTGAGTTGTAGAAACGGGCAGCTCTGTTTGATTTCAAATTAGTCAGTAGTCCAAAAAATGCATCACCACCGCCAAAGTTTTCAGCTTACTAAGACGGGTAGCCATAATAATAGTAATGACGGATCCCAGTTCCATAGAGAACCCACGAGAAGGGGACATTAGAGTGACGTGATTGCCCAGGTTGCGCATAATGTGATAGCCATATGTCCAGAGGCCAATGACGAACCAGCGCCGCCAAAAGCAAGAATCCACAGGTCAACCTGAGCCCTCTTGGGGATCACGCCGCTGTCCCAGATCTGGTAGATGGTGGCGTAAGGACCTACCGCGTTGGCGACGTCGTTGGCGCCATGGGTAAATGAGGCGGCGGCCGCCGTCATGACCTGCAGGAAAGTGTAAAGGAATTTGGCTTTGTTGTCGTAGTGGTGTGCTCGTGCATGGATTCCTTCGACGTCGCCCGCGATAACAGACTTCTCGCTCTGAAAACCCACAATGTCCTGGTCGATGCCGCGCAGCAGAGCCCACTTGAACCACCACCATAGTCCGGCACCAGAGTACCAAGCAGCGTCGGGCTTCGGGCCGATGAGAGACTTGTGAGTAGAGGCAACAGGTTGTTCGCCAGCCCCTGGGGCGGAGATATCGGAAGCAGCGCCCGTCTTTTCGTGCTGACCCTCGACATCTTCCGTGGTAGCAGCGGCTCGTGCGCCTCGAGCTTCGAGCTCCTGTCGGTTCAAATGGCCTTCATAGAAGTTGCGGACAACACCGGTGAAATTCTCGGGGGGTGGACGGACCTCGCCTCGTCGGAGAAGAAAGGGGCCCTGGAGAATGTGCCACCACTTCAGCTGCCAGTCCTCCTTGATGCCAACCCGGTACATCCAAGGGACAAGGAAGAAGGACACCAACAGGCCCCAGGCAGCTCCCGTGGCCACAATGACACCGGGGATCTGAGCGTCTGTCAGTTTGACCTCGTAGTCACCACCCTTCCAGATCAGCAACATGACGATGAGGGAGGCTGTGATCCAAAAGTAGATGGGGACGAGGACGAGGCCTCTCATGGCGGAATTCGATCGCAACAGGACTCCGTACTTGGTGATGAGGAAGATGGCGGCGCCGAACAAGCCAGATAGAACCTGTGCGATAACCCAGGCGAGGAAGACCTGGACGACACCGCCCTTGAGGTCGGCCGAGCCGTCTTTGTTGTAGCCCACCCAGGTGATGCCGGTGTTGCCAAGCGCGCCAATACCCATGCCCAAGACACCGCCCAGAATGGAGTGTGTGGTCGAGACGGGCATGCCGAACCGAGTGGCGGCGGTGAGATAGCATGAGGAGGCAATGACGGCGCAGATAATACCGAGCATGAGGAGAGCAGGCCGTTCCTCAAAGGCACCGACGTCGATGACCTTGGTTCGAATGGTATCGGCGACACGACCACCCACGCCGAGGGCACCACTAAATTCCATCAAACTGGCACCGATCATGGCCTGGACGTAGCTGAGGATCGGGACGAAACCGACGAGGCCGACGAGTTGGCCACATCGTTGACTCCAATGTTCCAGGCATCGAGGAACGCAAAGATGGTGCCGACGGCAAAGAGGTAGTCGTACTGATGGAGAGCCATTTTACGCTTCTTGTTGTTGTCCCCTGTTATCTCTTTGTGTGCATCTAATAGGTTCCAATATGCATACCAGGGCAAGGCGGAAGGATGCCCCAATCCCAGCAGAGTGGCAAGACGGACGGCAGACCGGCTGACCCGAGGTTCGACTTGGGAAAAGAGAATATCAAATGCAGCAGGTGAAGGACGTTCAGCGGCCTATATAGAAAATTTATGGGCGTGGACACGACGGAGGCATGTACAGGATGAACTGCCCGACAAAACTCTTCAGAGTTACAAGGGGAGGAATGTCCGGGTACCGGGCAGGCAAGCCGTTGATTCAAAGGACAGTCTCCATGGGGCGTTGACAGCATGCAGACCCAAGGCCAACTAGGAGCCATCCTGGAGCTTTAATGCGAGCTACACATGAAGGATTCGCAGTCGTGCTGCAGCTCTTTGTGCTTATTGGAGCAGACCACCCAAAGGAGAGACTGTAGGACTGTCCGATGAAGGGCTGGTGGGGGCCTTGGCTGCCAAGTATCATCTTGGAAACATTTCAGTGGTTACAAAGACATATTTCCACCGCATTATTGATTGTCCTTTAACAGGCGTGGATAGGAATTAAAGCTGAAGAAGGGCAACCCATGGCATGCGGCTCCAACAAAGCAGAGTGTCCAGAAACCCCGAGGTAGCAAACACCTGTACAAACGCCAGCCCCTGTCGTCTGAATGATGGTTAGGACCGTCATCACCAGGGGTGTTTGACGGCCAAAGTGTCTTCTTTGGGGAGCAGTGTAAAACAAGAGAGGCCTCGGTCCAATGACGGATGGCCGATCAGACCAGGACCAGTCGGCCTCGTACAGTGGGTAGACAAAAGTCACGATAATTAGCGATTTTACACCTAAACTTACTACTTTTATTAATGAATTATTACTTAACCTTTTGATAAAATTTATAAAAAATTAAAATTATATTAAATTCTTATAATAATTATAATAATATATAATTTTTATAATTATAAATAAAGTACTTCTCTTATAATTAAATGTTAAATATATAAGTAAATTTTTTTTATCTCTTAATCCCCTATAATATCTACTATAACCTACTATAATTAAAATCTTTAATTTTTCCGTTTTTTAAGCTTAAAAATCTATGCTTAAAAAAATAAGAAAATTAATTAAAAATAATAATAG